AACCACTTTCGGGGTGGTTAATAGTATTCATGTCATTATGAAGCAAGTTTCATCCAAAGTGCCTAGACTGTGATGTCATTAAGTGTCTGAATTTCATAGATAGCATACTTAAATTTTTTTTTTTACAAATAGTTTATTGGCATACTTAAATTTTAAAAGGATGAGCTTAAATCTCCAAAGAGTAACTAACGTTCTTTAACCTTTTCCTCTTTTAAGGTCTTTGTGTTGTAATCTAGAAAACAAGTCTTAGAAAAAAAAATTATCTAGAAGAAATTATAAAGAAAAAGCATCAGATGTGGAAAAGATAGGAAGAAGGCATGAGAAGGGGATAACAAGGAGGATTAAACCCAAACAGTTACAATGGGACAGCAAGTTCAACTATGGACAATTTCTCCTGAGTTTTAAGTTTTGTCCCTAGAAAAGCATGTGAACTCACATGGCGGTAGCACTCAAATGGACAGGCAAGGAATTCTATTTGGCAGCCTAATCACATCCTGTAGCTTTAGACCTGAGCACTAGTGCCAAGGTACGTTTTGAGTAGTACACTTACCCCTTGCTAATGTCCTTAATTTGTTTCCATAAAATCAGGACATAAGGCAAAAAGGCATTAGGGGATAGCACCAGCCAATTGTAAATCATCTTTCAAATCATATCTTTGAAGGATTGCCAATACCCTCTGACATAAATTGCCTGATAAAAAGCGAACAAGCCTAGACAAACGAAAAAAGAAAGCATTCATTGGTTTAAGCTGAGCACTACTGTATTCCAATGAGATAGGCCACACACCTTCCCGGTGAAGATTTTATTTTTCCTTCAATACTATGAATAATTATCTCTTAATTGTGAAAATGGATGTCTGTTCTTCTTAGTTACTATTCTAAAAATCGAATGCAAATTTTTGTTGTTGTTTTCAAAGGACAAATGTATTGCATTTCTGGTTTGCAGATTTCTAACCAGTTTTTAGGCTTTTTGTTTTAGAACACTTTCTTAAGAGTCTGTGAGCAAGTTGCAGAATTAGTGTTTATTTATAGGTCAGAGGCCAAGAATGCTCATTTGGCTGTTAACTCTGGCAGGATGTGAAAGCTTTGAACACATATGCTACAAAATGATCACTTATTTACTCTTTAACTCAATGGAAAGTAGCCTTTTGTTTGAGCTTTGGAAAGTGTTCCCCAATGTATTGTGCATCTAAATGTTACGCATGCTCCTTAATATTTTTTGTTCTTAACCTATTCCAAACATGGCATTCCTCAAGGGATATTTCTTGAATGTGCAAAATTATTCTTGAATGTGTAAAAGGGGCAGGCCACCTTTCTCATGCCTTACAGCTCCACCTAAAATATGCAATAAGCACTCAAGGAGGAGTGGAGGGGTCTGCAGATGGTTACTTAACCATGCTGGAGAAACGGCCCTGCTCCTCCTCACAGCTCACCACAACTTTGAGAAAGGACATCATGTAAATGAACCTTTATTTCTAGATGAAGGGAGTATAGGGACACATTAATTTAATTTTTTCTTTTAGTTCTGCATCTAGTTAGAAAGCATAATCTGTTTTTAATACACTGGATGCAAAAAAAAAAAAAAAAAAGAAAATTAATAGGAAAACATTTTAAAGAAGTATTCTAATTTTATATTTTAAAAGTTTATAAAGCAATTTGTTTGTAAAAACAGGCCTTAGCACATAAATGAGAACCAGCGCTTTTTGGAAAGCCTCATCTTTGTCCTGGGAGTTTAATCACCTTGAGCTCTTACCCAAATGATCAAGGCCTAGTAGGTCTTTAAAAATGTAAATAATGTATAGTTTAAAGAAGGGTAAAAAAACAACATTTTTTTAAAAAGAAGAAAAAAAGTCCGATATGTTATAGGTATGTAACAAGGCTAAATTAAAAGTCTTTTAAAAAGTCTAGTTAGAAACTTCATTAAATTCACTCCCCAGCAAGGCTTAACACAGAATATCTACTTTTCTACCAGGTTGGTTTTTTTGTTTTGTTTTGTTTTTTATGGAGGCTATGAGCAAAATTATTCTAAGCAACTGAGTACCAAGGCAGTAAGGCATGAGGCACAGTTCACTCTGATGAGGGTATAACCACCGCGAATGTCGTAGCCAGGAAAATGTACAGCCCTGACACATGCTCCTTGTTCCTTTGCAGTGGAAAAGGAGCGTAAAGCCCCACACCATTGCTACACACAACCAGGCAAGGGCTGTCTGCATTGCAGGGCTGGGGACAACCCCATGGCTGTGCTATTATCTGCATAAAGCATGTGGTAGCTCTGAATTCCTCATTTCAGCCATCTCCCAGGCCATTCCCACTACCCTGGAAGCCTTTGCATTCCACAACCTCAGCCTTGAAGACAAAAGGTCTCAAAAGATTCCATGTGTATTTAGGCCTTGTCAAACCATCTGCCTTACCAGGTTCATCCATGTCCAAAGCAAGGATTTAAATATGATTACTGTGCTCAGATTTACAAGAATGTACAACCAGCAAGTCCCCTTTGGCAGTAAAGGGCATTAATTGAAGGCCATACTCCTTTTTTCCCTCAGGTCAGAGGTAGTGGGTGGATTTCTCAGTGACCAAATAGAGACATCCTTATGTCAGTATTTTTTTTTAAGTTCATTTAATGGTGATAATGGAGGGAGGAAGGAGTAAAAGATAATGCAGGCATGAAGAAAAAACCTGAAAGAAAGATCCCACTGCTTGCTAAATTAATTCTTCCTAGCCTACCTGACTCCAGCCATCACCTACATCCTAAACAGCTATATTTAGCCAGGTAGAGAGGCTTCTCAGGATGTGTGAACTTCCATACAGGGACTGCAGTGTGGTTTCAGATCATTAGTGTACTCTACCAGAAAAGCATTATTTAATCATAATTCCACATTACCTGATAAACAAAATAATCTATAAAAATAGATATCACTTTGGTCAGTTCTGTGCATGTAGCTAACAAAATTGTGATTCATTTCTCTTGTATAGTTTGCTATGATTTGGGTTTCCTGAGACAATTGTTCCTTATGGTCTTGAACATGAAATTCTGTAAAATAATATAACTATGTATTTTTTGCTGAAAAACAAATGTATGAAGTAAGAATAAATTATTTGTAAGCATAGTGTTGAAGACTATTTTTATGCCTTCAGCAAACAAATAATTACTAAGCTAATTGTAAGTATGTATAATATTAATACACACAATAGGAAAAAAACATCCTTTTTATAAAACTCAGCAGATAGAAGGGAAGAATTTAAGTTTCTAATGGAAGTCCTGAAGAAGCACCCTTAGTATATTGTTACAATTTTAGTTAAATGAAAAAAGAAAATTCCTGAGTTACTTTGAAACCGTATCTTCTAAGAAAATGCATATATAACCCAGATAATGAAGGTTTTCCTTTCTTCCCTATATGTCAAGGCACATGTGGTCGGTCCATGGACGTCTGAGCAGTGCGGCCTGTCCAGAACCCTGGTGATGTGTATGAATTTGTGGTATCTCTGTCCCAAATAACCCTAGCAAAGGAGATCCAGTTTCAATTAGTACGTGTAACCCTGAGTGGACAGATGGAGTCGAGGTGAATAGAGTAAATCACAAAGGGAGGCTTGGTCAATCCGTGCCTAAAGCTTACCTACTTCTGGTTTTTTCCTTATGTGAGCCAGTAAATTTCCTTCATTTTACAATCTAGTTTAAGTATTTACTGCTTATAATTAGAAGTATCTTAACCGATCCACAAAGTTTAGTAACTCCCCAGCTGTCTATAACAGGATTTGCATAGCCCCCATCTCATCTTCACTCAGCCAGTCCCACATTTTAGGATCTGCATATTAGAAATTTGAAACACCTCATTTTTAAAAAGTTGTTTATTTGTTTTGAAAGAGAGAGAGAGAGACAGAGAGAGCAAGCAGGGCAGGGGCAGAAAGGGGTAGAGGGAGGGGGAGAGAGAATCCCAAGCAGACCACGCTATCAGCACAGAGGCCGTTGTGGGGATCGAACTCACGAACCCGAACTGTGAGATCATGACCTGAGCCGAAACCAAGAGTCAGAGGCTTAGCCAACTGAATCACCCAGGCACTCCTAAAATGCCTCATTTTTAAAGTACAGATTTCTGTATCAGGACGCCACGCTGCCCAGTGGCCCTCCTGTGTTGCTTAAAGCGCTTTCTCTCCTGTTCTCCACTGCAAGTATCTCATACCTCTGGCCTTCCCACTCCCTCCCATTCCTCAGATCTCTCATCCTACCTCTTTCCTTCTCTTCAGGAACCACACTATTATTACACATTGTTCTCTTGCATGTTCAGTGGCTTCTACTCAATAGGGTTCTTCCTACGAACATTTAAAAATGGACCACTAGTATCTCCCATCTTCTAAATAAAGTCACCCTTACCCCGCTATGTCACACTCTTAACCACCACCACCCTCTCTTCTTCACAGCCAAGCTTTTTGCAAGAGTGCTGTACACTCTCTTTGTTTTCATACCTCCCACTCACTCCTTCACCCACTGCATTCTGACTTCATAAATCTCACGAGAATGGTTCTTACATGATTTCTCACAACCTCTTTTTTGACCGATGGACATTTTTTAGATCCTATTTTCCATTCCCTTCCCTTGAAACTCTTTCCTTGGCTTCTGTGGCCCCATATTCCCTGGATTTCCTCCTACCTCTTGGGCTACTCTTTCGCAATCTCCTTTGCTGACTTCTCTTCCTCAGCTCATGCCTGAAATCAATTTTCTCAAAGTATGAACCAGACCATCTATGTTAGTATACTTTAATGATTTGGTCAGCAGCTTGATTCTGCCACTTCCTGTCAGCTCTGACTCACAGCAGAGTTGTTGTAATTCTTGTTCTAGGAAGCTCAGCCTTGAGCCTGCTCCTCCAATCCTTCCAATGAATTTGTAAGCCAACCAATGACTGTAAATAAATCCCCTTCAGCCCCATCTAGGGTGAGTAGATTCTATTGTCTGCAACTGAACCCTAGTTGATACAGCCGGTAAGCAGAAAAGATGGTGATCAAAAGTGCTGGCAATGGGAAGCCAGGGATCTTTATTCTCCAAACCAATCATTGGCAGATAGTCTGTTGGGCTTCTGATTTTTTTTTTTAACCTTTAATTTTCCTTGGAAAACAAAGCAGGTTCTGGATCAGGCAGCTTCTTCAGAGGGTTTGGTTCTACTTCAAAGCAAAAAAGAAACATTAGAAAGAGAACTACTTAGAATTTTGTTGACTTAAAATAGACTTAACTAGACTTAAAAGAGAAACACAACATGAATATTTAGAATTTATGTCAGGTGAAAGAAATCTAAAATAAATCTCAGTAAGTCACATTCCCACGTTGGTGAGATTTAACTTTCATACAGAGATTAAGCCCCTCATAACTAAAAAACCACCAACACAAAAAGTATACTGAATTATAACACCGGAGAGGAATTCTAGGCGACTGAGCCAGAACCTCAGGAGCTACTTGGTTTCTTCTTTCCCTGAACAAAGGTGCTTATTCTTATAATGCATCCCTCTGTTTCTTCTAGCAGTACCCTAAACTTCCTTTTAGGAAGGACCCCTCCCACTAAACCTTGGTGGGACTGCTCTCCCTGCTGGGGGTTGGGCATATGACCCACAGTAGGCTTGCAAGCCCAGAGCTTCTCTAGATTCTGAACTTTCCATAACTTGCCTGCATGTCTTCATGTAATTTTGAGAGCTATCCCATAGCCTTCAATAAATTTTTTTCTTCTTATTTCCCTGTAAGTTAACCAGAAGGTTTCTATTTCCTGCAGGAAATTCTCAAAAGAGTATTGACTAAGGACTTTCAGCTTCTGGTCTGGCATATAAGGAACTGAAAAGTTCCCACTCTATTCTAACAATGAATGTGCAGAAAAATCAACAATTCTTCTTTGATCTCTCAGAGAAGTGACATCATAGTGCTGTCCTCAAAAGTGGAGAGACACACAGGTAGATACACAGAATTACAACTTACGACATTAGGAACCCACAAGCAGAAACCTCTGCGGGGACCAGTACTGGGTTCCTTCTGCCTGATACATCATGTCTGCCTTTTAATAAAAAAAAAAAAAATTACACGGCTACTACAAAGCAAAAAACATGATTTAAAGAGACACAGCAAGCATCAAACTAGACTCAATTAAAGCAGGGATGCTGGAATATCAGACTGGAAATTTTAAACAATGATGCTAATGGCTCTAATGGAAAAAGTAGATAACATGTGAGATCAGATGGGTAATGGTAGGCAAAGAGATGGAAATTCTAAGAATAAAAGATACATGCTAGAACTCAAAACCATTGTGACAGGAATGAAGAATGTATTTGATGGGCTCATTAGTAGAAGACTAGACACAGCTGAGGAAAGAATCAATGAGCTTGAGGATATATCAATAGATGCTTCCAAAATTGAAAGACAAAGAGAAAAAAGACTGGAAAGGAAAAAGCAGACTCTCCAAGAATTGTGGGACAACTATAAAAGGTGTAAAATACGCCTAATAGGAATAACAAGGAAAAGAGAAAGGTACAGAGTATATGACTAACACAACACCCACTCAAAATTTATAACTTGAAATGAAAGGAGTTTTACATACAGACAGGACATGACTTTTGAATCATTTGTAAATAATTTCTTCTGTCTCAGAAGACCCCTATCAATTTCTGACTGCCAAAATTTATTTTCTCAAGAGCAGAAGGACTTCCTTAAGAAAGGTGGAAATTTAGAAATCTGATTACTTTTGCAATTTATAAGTAGTTTCTAAAATCATGGGCTTAACAGGGGCACCTGGGTGGCTCAGTCAGTTAAGCACCCAACTCCTGATTTAGGCTCTGGTGATGATCTCAGGTTCATGAGTTCAAGCCTTGCATCAGGCTCTGCGCTTACAGCATGGAGCCTGCTTGGGATTCTCTCTCTCTGCCCTTTCCCTGTTCACTCTCTCTCCTCCCCTCCTCAAAATAAATAAAACTTAAAAAAATCTTAGGCTTAACAAAAGAGATCCCATATCCTGCCTGCTTGCATAATTTCCATTCTTCTCATTTTGCTTGAATCTATGTAACTGTAAAAATATATGTGGAGAACTGAGAGGTAGGGAGAAGGCATTTGAACATTTATCAGTATGAAATGTAATTTTCTGAGTGTTGTCCTATTAATTCAAGATGACTCGAGTGGATTTCTACTCCATCTCCTAATTTAATGGTTCACTGTATTAGCTCATCCTTATCCACTATAAATCTGTTTTGATGGTAATCTGTAAATATCAATTTAGGGTTCTTTCATATTTTAATTTTAGTTGTACAGAAATGTCATCAAGTACAAAAAGAAATGAGCTTAAGGAAATTTTTTCCTATAGATATACACATATAAAACACCAAGTGTAAGTAAATAACGCTTACAGCTTGCATTTAAGGGAAGAAAAGGATGCATGTCCTCATTTCCGTTGTTTTGGTTAGAGTTTTTGGCTTTCATTTGTGTTTTTTTGTTTTCATTTCATTTTATTTTTATTTGTTTTAATGTTGATTTATTTTTGAGAGACAGAGGGAGAGAGTCAAGCAGGGAAGGGGCAGAGAAAGGCAGAGACATAGAGTCCGAAGCAGGCTCCAGGCTCTGAGCTGTCAGCACAGAGTCCAATGTGGGTTCAAACCCATGAACCTTGAGATCATGACCTGAGCCAAAGTTGGACACGTAACCAACTGAGCCACCCAGGTGCCCCATGTTTTAATTTTTTTGATTTTGGTGTTTTCATTTTGTCCTTTTTAGCTCCTAGAGAAAGGGTCAAATATAAAAGATGGCAGATGTGAAATCCTGCCAGAAGTCCCTCATTCTGATCCCTAGTGTTACTATTTCTTGCCAAACATAAAGTTTGTTAGTTTATAGGTGCCAATTTATCACAGAAACACATAATGGATCCACAAATGGTATCCATGGTGCCTCCCTTCAATTTTGTTAGATGTATATGGCTAAAATGAATTTAAAAATAATAGTTAAAAGAAAAAGTCAGGGGCTTTTCATAGCAATAGGGGACAATTCTACATTGTCTCGCCATCCTATCACTTCATAGAATCATTTTAGTCCTGGGGTATCATTTGCTTGGCTGTGGCAGAGGAGGCTGTCCCTGCAGGATGAGTCACAGCTATCGTATAAGTCAGATTCAAGTTTTCCTGAGCACAACAAAACCGGGCTTAGTATATGAATACCAGTGTACCTTAAAAAACAATAAACCTTTTACTTCCCGTCCTTGCTGTCTGGTCCCATAAAGAGTTCTAACAAGACATATGTCAAGCCACGGTGCCACTTAGCTTCCCTCTACAAGGGCTGATGACTATTCACAACCCCTCCAAAAAATTGCAAAAAGGAAACAAGTGCCATCCTGAAATGTGGGGCCACATCAGGGATAGCTGCCTAGGTGTTGGGGACATCTTAGCATCCAGCCTGGTTCTTGTGTCTGGCGCTCTGTCCCCACTGTCCATACTGGGGACATGGATGACTGCAGTCAGGCAGCCTTGCGGGGGAGCAGCCTGAAGATCCTGAAGTTCCTTACAACTGGGGAAAAAAATGCTGGACCCTCCAGTTGGGGGGTGAGGGCAGTGGGGATCCTGCCTACCCCCTCCAGAGAGTGGTATCTTAAGATGGACACACAATACTCCCTCCCCCCTCTCTCTCTCTCACACACACACAGACACAGACAGACACAGACAGACAGACAGACACACACACACACACACACACACACACACACACAAGCTCAAACTCCCTGATCACTGTGAGATGGTGAGATGATCTCCATGGGGTAAAGGTCCCCAGAAAGGCCTCTTCCAGAACCCTGGAAGATGGAGTGGAGGGGGGTGCGGGGGGGGGGGATTTGTGCAGGGCTCTGGAATACACTGAGCAGTCAGAGGGATTCGGCAGTTTTCCTGGTACGGGGCATGAGTGAGCTCAAAAGGGGCAGGGGCTGGGCAGCAAGTGGGACAAGGTGGAGCTGGGGCTCCTGGGACTCGAGGGTGGGGCGGATGCTAGCACTGGGGCTGGCGGTGCGCTTGGCCTGCAAGGAGGCCGGCCTGGCTCAGAGCATGGTGCTGGTGGCTAGGCCATGGGCTCCACGGTGGGACCCAGGGAGCTGGAGTACCGAAGGCGGTGGCAGGAGACACCACAACGTGGTTCTATGGGTGCTCTGGCCTCCTTCTGCGATTGCAGCTACTTGCCTTTGCATCATCAGACCTCTGCTGAGTTTGACTTCTCCTGCCAGTATTCCCCAGTCTTGTCATGTTAGGATGTGACTTGTCCCTTCTGGATCTCCATTTCCTCATCTGTAAAAAGGTTAGAAATATCTTTTACTTAAAGTAGTGAGAGAATTCAGTGAATGATTGAAAATGTCTGGAGCATGATAACTGTTCAGTACATTTTAGCTAGTGTTACATTAGCTAAACATTTAAGTACCCATAACATACTCAAATCATGAGAATACTGGGGGCATGTGTGCATTCTGGAAAAAAAAAAGTGGAATTGAATTAGCTTTCTAGATCAGTGCAATCCAATAGAAATATAATGCAAACCTCATAAGTCAGTTAAGCATCTGACTTCAGCTCAGGTCATGATCTCACAGTTGGTGAGTTCGGTTGGTGAGTTCCAGCCCACATCCAGCTCTGTGCTAACAGGTCAGAGCCTGCAGACTGCTTCAGATTCTATATCTCCCTTTCTCTCTGACCCTCCTCCCTCTCATGTTCTTATCTCTCTCTCACACACACAAGAATAAATAAAACATAAAAAATTTTTTGTTCTAGTAGCCACATTAAAAAGGTAAAAAAAAATCAGATGAAATTAGTTTTGGTAATACATTTTATTTAGCCTGCTATATCCTAAATATTATCATTTCACCAGCCACATTTCAAACCTTCAATTTCTTAGGTGCTGGATAGCATGGCTCAGATTCCTTGCCACCACATGGGTCTCAGCTCAAATGTCACCACTACCTAAGTAGCCACTTTGGCTTCCCCTTCCCCCACCCACACACATTCACCAGGGCTTCATCCTGTTTTACTTCTTACACATCATGTACCACCATGTGAAATTACCTTGTTCATGGTTTCTTTCTCTCCATTAGAATCTAAGCTCTAAGAAGACTGCAGAGATAGAGCCTCAGCACCTGGCATGGTGCCTTGCATATTGCCGGCACCCATTTAATACTTGTTGAACATATGAATCAGTAATTAACCAATTAATAAATGACTGGATGTGGTAGGTAGGATCTACCTACTCTACAGACAGACTACCCAATTTTGACTAAGATGATCTCTCTGTAATGCTGTAATATCTCTCTGTAATATTATATTTGAGGAATTCAAAGGATGCGCAATTCTCACAGGGTTATAAAAACAGAATTCTACCATTTTGACAATTATTGTTTATTGTGGCAATGGCAAGGAACCCAGCTGCTACCTTTATACCTAGGTTTATAAACTGCCTCTCTTAACTGTGATGACATAAGTATCAGATGTTCTTCATTAGCCATTTGTTTACTTTATGGATAATCTAAAATGTATGTTAACTCAAAGATTTAAGATTTTTAAAAAGTTTTAAAAATAAAAATTAGTATATAAAAATATTAAACAGTACAAATGGTGAAGAGCTAGTCAACTATGGATAGGTTAACCTTCACTAAAAAGAGAGTAGATGGCCTAGCATAAGAGTATGTATATATATTTCTGTTGAGATAATTTTATAATAGAGCTTTCTTGATAAAACTAAATATTTGGGCAATGGGTCAGTAACAATAGTTAAAACTTATTGATGGATAGGCTACTCAATTAAGGCAACAAATGTGTTAGTGGTCACGGCCCTTATGGACTCATTTGTTATAAAATGGCTGGTGAAATAGTGGTTTCCAAATACGGCTGCATAGTAGAATTACCTAGAGAGCTTTACAAGACAGCTGATTCCTAGGCTCTATCTTCGGAGATGCTAATTCAAACAGTCTATTGGGACTTTGGAAACTGTCATTAGAAAAGCTCTCTTGGTGTCTCCAATAATGAGCTGGTCTGGGAACCTCTGTAGCAGAATTGTCCAATTATCATCAGAGGCAGAGTAACCAGGACAGCAAAGAGGCTCAATTTTCAAAGATGTATCATCTGCATGAGTCTCTCCCAAAGCCCCGTATCTAATTCTGTCTTTGTAATTTTGCACTCTTTTTCTTAAAGAAGGCCCTTCAAATTATAAAGTGTTTGTGCCCCACAAAACCTGGATCTCCTCCTGACCATAAACTATACTGTGCTCAGAAAACTACAGCTATGGAGCAAATCCAGCCCTCTGCCTATTTTTGTACAACTCATAGCTAGGAATGGTTTTTACATTTTTTAATGGTTGGAAAAAATGATTTAAAAAACCCTCATGATACGTGAAAGTTATATGAAATTCAAATTTCTATTTCTTTTTTTTTTTTTATGTTTTATTTATTTCTAGGAGAGAGAGAGAGACAGCGCGAGCTGGGGAGGGTCAGAGAGAGAGGGAGTCACAGATTGAAACAGGCTCCAGGCTCTGAGCTGGCAGTCAGCACAGAGCCCGACGCGGGGCTCGAACCCNTCTTAGCAAAAGTACCAAAGATGAAACACCTCTCAAAGAAACTTATGAAAACTCACCTGAAAGAAGTAAAATTGGGGGAATATTTTTTTTCCTCATTTCAGAAGGGAAATGCCATCAAATAGCAATACTTTATTTTATTTTTTTTTAAATATTTTTATTTATTTCTAGGAGAGAGAGAGAGACAGCGTGAACAGGGGAGGGTCAGAGAGAGAGGGAGTCACAGATTGAAACAGGCTCCAGGCTCTGAGCTGGCAGTCAGCACAGAGCCCGACGCGGGGCTCGAACCCACGAACTGTGAGATCATGACCTAAGCGAAAGTCGGACGCTCAACCGACTAAGCCACCCAGGCGCCCCCAAATTTCTATTTCTATAGATAAACTTACGTTGGCCCATAGCCATGGATGCCTCATTCATTTACAAATTGTCTGTGACTGTTGCAGTGGCAGAGTTGAGCAGTTGCCACAGAGACTGCATGGCCTACAAAGCTTCATATATTTATTATTTGGCCTTTTACAGAAAAAGTTCGCCAATGCTAACCTATACCATCAAATAATAACATCATAGACACAAGAGAAAATTGATTTAAAAGGGTTACTTTATTCAATGTGAAAAGCATGATGGGAGAATTGTTTAACATAAACAACTTGCAAACACAACTGTAGAAGTGAGAGGTCTCTTTTATGAAAATCTATAAGTGACTAAATTCAGATGTGAATGTCAAAGAACCATAGCATCTTATTCAATATCACTTAGAGTAAGCTATGTCTGGTTGATAGGTTAGGAGCAATGATATGGTGAGACCAAAGGTGATTATGGAAAGAATGATTATAAGTAAAAACCTCCCTAGGTAGGAAATACAGGAAAAATCTTGCAGGATAGCTGCAAAATGTATGCAATTAGATTAACCATTAAGCATAAAAATAATATGTGTTCTGAGTTGTGGAAAAGCATAGTAAAATGTTGCTAACATTACACTTCAAAGTTTAGCTCTGGGGTGGGTCACTAACCCAGTTAACCCAATACTTGAAACAGAGCTAAAAACATTTGCACAGTAACAATTGGGTGAATTGGGCAAGAGCTGTGATAGATCACTGAATTTTGGTAGCAAAGAAGATCAGAATTATTGATTTAGCTGTCCCCCTTCATAGAAGTATGACAAGAAACTTAGGCAGAGCTTTGAAAGTCACTCTGAAGATCTGAGATGGAAGAAGAAAGTCTGTCAAAGGACAGCCAGTGTAGAACTTGAGTAGGCCAGGAGCCATAGATGGAGCAGATTTCTCAGTCAGGCAAACACAAAGTAGAAAATTAGACCAAATGGCAAATCAACTGGGAAGACTCGTCAATGTGGATATCAGGTTGGGTGGTCAATGATGAAGGCAGTGTTTTATCAGTCAGTTGACTTCACAGATCTCATGATTGGGATTAGACAAAAAAGAAAAGACATATCCCTTAACTGACTCAGAGGCCCAGGACTTGAAGATCCAAGGGATCTGCTTCTTCAGGTTTTGATGGAATCATTGCTGTTAAAGACAATTGGTTCTGTGTCCTTTGGAGACATTACATACCTCTGTTCCAAAGGTCCCAACTGTAGTCCAACACTTCCATTTTCATGATAAGAGAAGAGTCGTGAGAGCTGGAAGGTAACAGAATTGTTGAGTCAGTCTAAAGGATGAGTGATCTACCAGGCACAGACATAGGGAAAAAAGAAGAAGCAAAGGAACATCTTGGAGCATCTGCTATGTGCTAGCTGCTTTGCATATGTTACTTCATTATCTCCACATCCCCTCAGTATAATTATCATTGATTCCACTTAACATCTGAGCAAACAGAGATGGTAAGTTTTGTAACAGGGAAACACCTAGCATGTCTGACTTTATGTTGCTTCTCTTTCCCTCACTGCTGTGACCTATAGCTTAGAATCTTCTGATAATAGTTCAGATTTGCACAAACTGCTTTTTACTCCAAATCTACCTCAACCAAGGAGATAAAGAAGTACGTACAGAAATGACAATCAAAGGCTCTTGGGTGGCTCATTTGGTTGAGTGTCTGACTTTGGCTCAGGTCATGATCTCACGGTTCATGGGTTTGACCCCTGCATGGGGCTCTGTGCTGACAGCTCAGAGCCTGGAGCCTGCTTCAGATTCTGTGTCCCCCTCTCTCTCTGCCCCTCCCCCACTCATGCTGTTCCTCTTTCCCTCTCTATTAAAAATAAAGAAACGTTAAAGAAAATAAAATAAGACAGAAATGACTATGATACATTTAAAATTTACAGGACCAATATGACTAGATTCCTGTATGCAAAGATCACCTGACCAAGGACAAAGAAGTTACCTAACCTTCCTAGGACATCTACAGATATCAGTCACCTTTTGACTCCAACCCCGTTCTGCTTCCCCCTTTTGCTAACATAAAAAAAATCTTGAATTTCTTGCCAAGGGAGATGGTTCTTTAGGACAATAGTCCACCATCTCCTTGGTTTGCTGGCTTTCTGAATTAAGTTACTTTCCTTATCCCAGCATTTTGTCTCTCAATTTGTTGGCCTGTCGCGCAACAAGCAGAATGAGCTTGGACTCAATGACAGTTTCATGCTTACTATCATCCAGCCAGTAACAGTAGACTTGAAATGCGAACGCAGGTGTGACTGCCTGTCTGGCCCTGAATCCTTATTCCTTCCCACTCACCATCCTGCTCCTGGCAGGCTCTCCAAGCAGAAAAAAAGCAACAGGCAGAAAAGCAGAACATCATAAATATGTTTTTCTATGTTCAGTGACAACCAAGACATTTTTTTAAGTTTATCGGAGTTATAAAAATAAAACTAAATTAACACTCCTTAATCAATGACTAATACTGTGTCTAAGGTGGAAGGTCATATTACCCTTTGTAGTCTTTCTTAAAACAAATCGTCAAATTCTAAATCTAGCAAATGTCCTCTACTAGGTTCCTTTGAGACTTTACAGTATTTAAGCCCACAAGTGGGCTGTAAAAATGGCCTCATATCCTAATGCAAAGTTTTGCTGACTACAGATTGCCCCAGACAGACAAGCAGTTTTTTTTGGCTCCTTGTTCCATCTGCGACTAGTTTCTTTGTCACCATATTCCAATTAGAAATGAGGTTGTAATGCTAAGTCTTCCCTCCCCAGGGAGTTTCTTTACATACACCATTATAGTAATGAGTTACCTGGTCTTCCCTTAGGTGATGGTCAGTAGTAAAAACACATTCAGTAGATCATTAGAGCCATTATTACAAGCTTTTTAAAAATTTGGTTAAAGAACATATGCTACCACTTAGAAGTCCTTTAGTAAGTCATTTGATCAATTTATAGATATTTCTATTTCTTCCAAACTACATCCTCAAATTTGTTAGAGCTTCAAGTATTTACATTCTACCTCCTACCCCCATTACAAAAGAGGCTATAGGAAGAAACTACCATCACGTAATGCTGTCTAAAGAATCCTGACCAGTCTAAATTTAGTAGATTTCTTTTGTAAACCTACGCCTAATCTCAGATTAAACACAACAAATGGTAACTAAATAGATGACCTCTTTAAATCTGTTTGCTTTACCACAGATGAACAAGCCAAGACTTGCTTAATTTGTAGTTGAGAGCTCTCTTCCCAACTTAGAAGCAGAAGGAAAAGGAAGACCAACCACCAACCTAAACAGAGATTCTGTAATTATAGGATTTTAGGCTTGGAGTCACTTCACTTAATCTTTGCATGACCCAGAATTCAACCCAGAAGATTAGAAGAACAGCATTTTCAATTCTATTCATGAAAATGAAGGACTTGGCTAGAATTAATAAAATGGAGGAAAAAATACATAGAAGTTGTGAGTCAAAGCAACATAATCCACACTCCAATGTAAAGAGAAAAAAAAATTTAGTAGTCCATGATTTCCATTGTAAGAGGTAATACTTTTGCACATAGACTTGGGAAAGAGGACATAATATCCTGAAGGTGAATTGCTCCTGTGTGAGAGAACCATATTAAGATTCCACTCTTGGAGCAACCCTTGAAGCTTATCAGATCTAAATAAAAGATTGATGGTGATTCTGAGTTTAAAATTTAATGCCCAGCCTCACTACTAAATTTTACATTATAAGAATGTTGGCGTGGCAGTACTGTAAATCAATAAAATCAATTATGCCCTCTTAGGGGATGGATTTTATAGAATAAAAATTATTTACATATTGTGCTTTTTCAGAGGGCATTGTACTTATTTCGCTCACTGTCACTTGTCAAATTTTCATTTTGACATATTTAATGGGTGATATTTCATACATGCTACATTAGAAATCCTATTCTAACAATGCCTTTCCCTCTCCCCTATAAATTACTGACAGACATCATTTCTACCTATAAACATGATATACTGGATTTGCAGATACAATCTAATAACCCGATATACCCGACTTCAAGAAAGCAATTCCTAACTTTTAATTATGTTTATACTGATTTCCCAGGAAGACCTGGGAAAAGGAACTTCAAGATAGCTACATTGCGTTGTGAAGAAATAATCAATATAATAATGATAGCTATGAGACTGCTTTGTAAATAATGCTAAGTGTCTTGTTTATCCAACACCTTAGTTACTATGTAAGTCTTTTCCCAAACCGAGGTTACCAATTCACAGGAGTTTTATCTTTGGCTAAGCCCATCTCTCAAGTGAGTTAAAGGCTTGTGAGAGAAGGTAAATGATCTTTGGTAGGTTTAAAATGGGCTGGGAGATTAGGACCTGTGAAATGTCACTCAGAGGCAACCATTGCTGTGTTATCTTCTGTGATGTCATTAATGTTCCCAGTGATCTCCCTTCCCCAACCTCAGGGAGGGAAAAAGGCATCTTACTAAATAATGCAAATGTAAGCATTGTAACAACATATGCCTCCAAATAGTGGTTTTGTAAAATTATAACATTAAGATTTTGATCATTTAGGCTGATCACATACTTGGTGACATTTATTATCAAGATATGAGAGATGACAGTGTAGAAAAGAATCACACTATCCTAAGTAATCATTTAAAGCACATTTCAAAATAAATTATGATAAGAATTTCTAGTTTATTAACCCAGAATTAGAATTTGAGAAGACACATTTCCAGGCCAATAGTGAAGTAATTTATTATTTTGTTTACTTGACATGGAGGGCAGGATATATTTTAATGATTGGGGAAATCCTAATGATTTCCTATTCCTAAATATATTGGATTAATGTCATAAATGCATCAGATTAGTTAGGAAGAAGGCCATTAAAAATTTTTTTTAATCTTTATTTATTTTTGAGAGTGAGACAGAGAGAGACTGAGCGTGAACAGGGGAGAGGCAGACACAGAATCTGAAACAGACTCTAGGCTTGAAGCTGTCAGCACAGAGCCCGATGCAAGGCTCGAACCCACAAACTGACTGGGTCACCCAGGCACCCTGGAAGAAGGCCATTTTAAAGAACATTAATCATTTTTACTCAAGATAAAGATTTAAAGAGCATTAAACAGTTTTATTTAAGTTCTGAAATCAAGAACTTACTCAGAAAAGCTTTTCTGGGTTTTCATCAGCTAATATGATTATTCTTTAAACATGTTTCTAGTATAAAGTTTAAGTTGTTTATCTTTTCCCAGGTCATTTGCATCATTACCCCTTGTATAAAATCCCATATTTAAAAAAGTACGAAATATATGATATATATGACATCTTTTTTTTTTTTTTTTTAATTTACAGGATTTTTAAGTACTACAAAAGTGGTCAAAAGGAGCCTGAGGGGGGATGAACAGCAATAGCTCGAATTCCAACTGACCTTATCCAGAGAAGTTCTAGACTGCCAAGTTGTCTTCCAAGCCATTGGTAATAGAAGCACATATTTATTCTACTACACAATTATTATCTTTTAATTAATTAATATAATATTGAATTATGAATTCAATATTGAATATATTGAATTATGTCCATGTATTTCCTAAGATTGAATCATCTTTGCCTGTGGTCACAGGGCATTATTATCTGAATCCACTTCAAAAAATTTTTTTTAATGTTTTATTTATTTCTAAGAGAGAGAGAGAGAGACAGCGTGAGCAGAGGTGGGTCAGAGAGAGAGGGAGACATAGATTCTGAAACAGGCTCCAGGCTCTGAGCTGGCTGTCAGCACAGAGCCTGACGCGGGGCTTGAACCCACAAACCATGAGATCATGACCTGAGCCAAAGCCAGACGTTTAACCGACTGAGCCACCTAGGAGCCCCCTGAATCCACTTTTAGATTTAGTTTCCAATTATCTTATTTTGTATCATTCTCTATAGAGAGGGATCTATTGTTTTCCTTTGTTTATATATTTTATTTTTAAGCCTTCTTTCTATACATATACATTTGTTAAACTCCCTAAATGTAATCATAAATTTTTGCATCTTTTGCTCCCCTTTTTGCTTTGCTATTTTCCGCCTTCCTTATCCTCATCACCCACACCATTCTTTCTCCACCTTCCCCTTTACCTCCATGCCTACATGACCATGTTAAAAATATATTGCACATCCTTCCATGTTTTTTCCTCAATTTTATAAATACAGATGCGTGTATATGTATGTTTTCAGTTTGTCCTCCTAGGGATTTTTCTTTCTGGGGGGATGTAGTGGGAGTGAGGGTAGGATTCTTTTTAAATCTATGGAGGCTTTTTCATCACTTTTGGAAATTCACACACATACAAGTACCAAGGAACAAACAGCCCTCCGGCAAAAACTTTAAGCATACTAGGAAATAAGGCACCATGAACAAGATTCAGCAGAACAGGTACATATCAGCAAAGGACTCCAAAGACCTCAGATATTGAACATATCAGACATCAAACATAACTAAGTTTGATAGTTTTAAACAAAAACAAGACAATCTGGATTTGGGGACAGGCAATAAGAAATCATTTTAAAATAACAAAGAGATTTAAGGACCATTTAAAACTTATAAGAATGAAAACTATAGTGATGAAATTAAAAACTCAATGGATGGTTTCCACTTCTTTGGTTTTTTTTTTTTTAATGCTTATTTATTTTTGAGAGAGAAAGAGAGAGAGAGAGAGACAGTGAGTGCACAAAAACAGGGGAGAGGCAGAGAGAGAGACAGAATCTGAAACAGAGAATCTGAAGCAGGCTCCAAGCTCCAGGCTCTGAGCTGTCAGTGCAGACAGAGCCTGATGCGGGGCTTGAACCCACAAACCTTGAGATCATGACCTGAACCAAAGTCGAACACTTAACCAACTGAGCCACCCAGTTGCCCCAAGATTTCTATTTCTGACAAGAGTGGTTACCAATATACTTTGGACCACTGTCCCACTGAAAGTAACTAAAAATCCTGGTTAGATTAAGAAAAACATCTTTTTTAAGAAATATCTTAATGTTCATTTATTTTTGAGAGAGAGACAGAGACAGAGAGAGACAGAGAGAGGCAAAGTGCGAGCAGGGGAGGGGCAGAGAGAGAGACAGGGAGACACAGAATCTGAAGCAGGCTCCAGGCTTCGAGCTGCCAGCACAGAGCCAGACATAGAGCTTGAACTCATGAATGCAAGATCATTATCTGAGCCAAAGTCGGAGGCTTCACCAAATGAGCCACCCAGGTGTCCCCCAAAAATATCTGAAAGGGCCTCAAAGAGCTAACAACATAGTAAGAAATAGCCAAGCCAAAATCTAGTAAGTGGAAATACAGAAAAATAAGCATAGTTATGAAGTCAGTATTTATTTATTCCAAAAAATTTCTAAATGTACTTTAACTTTGTGTGGGAACATTGCCTTATAACCTCACGTTTTGATTACCCTACAAACCAAGGCCTCAACACTGAATGGCTGTCACCTATGCCATGGGGATGGATACTTAACAAGTAGGCTTGTCTGGACAGGGGCCAATTGGGAGGCACTTTCTTGCACATCTCAGAATGAGATCTGTCCCCCAAAAGTCTAGACCACAGACAACCAACTCTTCTGGACCAGCACAGTGATGAGTTTGCAAACCCTTAGCTAATAATAGCAAAGTAGGACTGGGTTGGGATTAGGACAGCAAATAAGACTTAGAAAGGATAAGTTAGCCTGTCATTCTTCCTATCTGCTTTACCTACAATAAAGAGGGTGGGGTAGGGGGCATGATGCTCACCTCAGTTCCAGTGGGGAGCCAGCCTGCTGAACTGAATTCAAACCTGCTGTCTTCCCTGTACTACAGTTACCATGTGACTCTTCCCTGTGCATCCTCCTTGCCTGCAGTTGGTCGATACACCAGGCTAAGTTCCATTACACTCACGTGACCTACTCTAACAATCCGTTACTGCTCAGGGCTCTGATAACACTTATTGCTGGTACTTCAGCATCAGTTAGGATGCTTCTATCTTTGAGGAACAGAAAGTCTAGCTCAGAAGAACTTAGCCAATATGAGAGGATGTTTGGCTAAAAGTTCTAGAGAGGGTTCTTAGTTTAGGTACTAAAATTGATTCTGACTGGTGTAGGAAATAACACATTTGTTGAAAGGGTACTGAGTAAGTCAAAGGCTGGAAAGTACCACAGCCAAAATTATGCCTCAGAACCAGTTTGATAAAGACAGTGCACTACCCTCTGATCCCACATTCAGGATATAAAGTGCTACTACTGAAACTGTTGCCATAGGACACTGGATGTTACTACTGTCACCACAATTGCTGTTGACAGAATGAATTAGCTGGCTTCTTCATGTTGCTACCTTGTGATTCACAGTACCACACAGCTCGTTCTGATGGCAGCCATGAAGTTGCCTGGGACTATGAATATCTGACCATGAGTGTTTTTACACTGGGAAGCATCTCTCTGTCCCTCTCTGTCTGTGGGAGAGACATGCATGTGGTGGGGATATCCCCAAACATGGCTATATGTTGAGAAGCAGGTTCAGGCCTCACAACTATGTACCATATTCACTCAGAAGGAGGGAGGGCATTTGGACCCTAGAAACCCCCACAAAAGTCCTGAGCTTCGAGATAACTGAGTTCCCACATCTAGTCCCTATGGCCATAGAAATTCCATGAATTGCTAGAACCCACCACTTGGCCCCAGAGGATGGGATTACTTGACTGATTTAGGCTAGTTGGGGATCATCTTTGGAGCTGGGGGTGAGGGTAATCCCACATAACTAACAGGATTTTTTCCAAAATAGGTTTAAGCTTAATGGATGTTGGGAAGAAAACACTACTCCCTCTCTAATTCCCCTCACTGGCCTTGCAGAACTTCTATTATATGCTTTCTCTCATTAATTAAAAAAATATATATATATATGCTAATTACCTCCCCAAATAGACAATAAGATCATGTGAACAAGGATTAGCTCTATAACATTTGGATTCCTTCAGTGCCTATACCTTATAGGCACTCAGTAAAAGATATAAAGATTGTTTCCTCATTGATCCATTCTTGTTGAACAATTTATCAAGACCATTAAAACTAGATTGAATCAAATAATTAAATAACTAGACACTTCACCAGTTTTTTTTTTAGCTTTTCACAGATACTCATTATAATTTAAAAAATGAGAATAAAATATTTATCTTTCACTAACAGGAGTTACAGGGATTCCTTTTAAAGAGTTTTGGACTAGTTGGAAGAAATCATGATCTAAATATGAGCATTGTTCATATTTCTCTTAGAGCCCTAAAACTGTCATAAAGGATCTTATTTATGAGGTAGATATTTATTGTGTTGCTTCTGAGCTTGTGTTTTTGATTATTTTTTTTACCCCTTTCTTCCTCCCTACCCTAATCTAAAAGACAGTTAATACAGCTGGTTATTAGAAGAAATGTATGTCTTCAAAAGTGTGCTTTGCTCTGTTTAGTGCCAAAATGAATCCCCTTTGAGTGAACTGATATAGTAATATACTTTATAATTATTATTCTAACTCTATTAACTACTCAGTAAGTCTAAGTGCAAGAAAAATCTTTAAAAACTAACCTTTGTCTAACTCCCTCATCATTTGCAGATGAGCACTTTAAAGAAGTTGTTTTTGGAGGGTTTTTTTTTAATGTTTTATTTATTTCTGAGAGAAAGAGTGGGGGGGGAGGGGAGAGAGAGAGCCAGCATGAGCAGGGAAGGGTCAGAGAGAGAGGCACAGAATCTGAAACAGGCTCCAGGCTCTGAGCTAGCCATCAGCACAAACCCTGACGCGGGGCTCAAACCCACGAACTGTGAGATCATGACCTGAGCCAAAGTCAGACGCCTAACTGACTGAGCCACCCAGGCGCCTCTGGAGTTTTTTGAACATCCATTGAGAGTTAAATAAATAACTGACTTATGCAACTAACTTGGAAATTTGTCAAAATCAAAGTTTTATGGATTGGGTGTCCATTTACATAAGGAGTTTATGGTGAATTAAAAAAAACAAAAGTGTTTCAGAGACTTCTTCCTAAGTTTCCAGGGATCTGAGTAAGGAAAGCAGTTTCATGCCTCTAATGTTTTAAGCAACAGTAACTAGAAAGTTGGACCCGTCATCTTGATTTCACACAGTTGGTGTGGTAAAGTGCCTTGACGCCCCGATTCTTCACTCTTCTTGTTCCTGCTGTCTTAGCAATGTGACTTTGCACTACACCCTCTAGGGTGAATTCTCTAAATCTGGGGGTGGCCAACAGAGTAGGAAAGAGTGAAAGTGTGTCACTTCCCCGCCTGGGCCTCAGAAATCTTGATTCTTAATTCCTAGATGTTTGAACTATATTAATATTTTATTTTAATATGCCCCTGAGATTTTATGGATGTTTGTTTCATAGTAATATCAAATCAATAAAACTGGCTGATTTTAAGTTATTGTTTTTTTCTGAGAATGAATTTGATTTAAGATATAAGAGTGTTCTTAAAAATCAAGACTCCAGGTACTGAGAACCAAGACTCAACAGTTGGTTCATAGACTTGTAGTTCATCTCCCTGCAGTGGAAGAAAGTAGATGTTCTTAAAGTTTTTTTGTCCCAATATGCTCTTTAAAATTATTGAGAAACAAAAGAGCTATTCTTGGTGGTTATATCAATTGGTATTTAGAGTTTAGAAATTAAAATTGAGGAATTTTAAAATATTAATTGGTTGATTGATTATAAGGTAGGTAATAAATCCATTATATAGTAATATAAATTTTTTTTATGAAAAATAACTATATTTTCCAGAACAAAAAATATATAGTAAGAAGGTAGCATTGTTTTTTCTTTATACAAATCTCTTTAACGTCTGGCCCAATAGAAGATAACTATATTCACATGTTTGCTTTAATTTTACTTTAATTTATTGCAATATGTTATTTTGATCCAATTATATGAAGAAAATTTGGCCTTATTTCCAACATATGCTGTTGGAAAATGGAAAAGTATTATTTTGTGGGGCTGGAGGAATATTTTAATAGCCTTTTCAGGTCATTGAAGGTATTCTTTTGTGCTACTACACCAAAACTTAATAATTAGGAGTTCCTTAAAGGTCAGTTGCAGTGTGGAAGCTGAAACCATATTGATAAATATCTTGCACACTGATATGTTAAAAATGTTAAAAATCCTTTGGTCTATCCTAAATTTTGAACAAATCTTTTGTGCCTGTATGATTTTGACCCTGTGCGCCCCCTGAAAGGGTCTTAGGATCTCCAAGGAGTCTTCAGACTACACTTTGAGAACCACTCATATAAAATATCAAATAAGCTTAGGCTTTATTCTACTTCATAGAGCAGCCACCTCTTTGCAAACGTGCGTTTTCCCGTGAAACAGAAATAGATAATGAACATTATCCACAATCACATTTATTACATTAACAAAAGCTGCACTTATATTTTTCTGATCCTTGAATCTTATAAGGGAGCCAAGGAAAACAATGAATTGTGTAGAAAACTAAGCTATTTGTTACATCATTCTTAACCTATATATGCTGGGCACTGTACTGAAGCTGGAGATATAGAGATAAAGTGGACAGACAAAGGCCTTACTCACAATGCATTGGCAGTCCTACAGTGAGGGTAACAGACAAAGAACAGGTAAACAAGTAAACAAAGATGAGAATTTAAGGTTTAAGTTAGAGTTCTGAAGAATATAAGGTACCCCACAAATTTCAAACTTGATACTGCCTCAGAAGCAAGAGGGAAGGATATGAATTTCCAAATCTGTATAAATCTAGGCAAGACCCATGAGGAACCCTGGGCAGAGAGAAGGGATGGCTGTGACCCACACAGCAGACAATAGGTGAAGCAAAGGACGTCACTGTTGGGGCCTGGGGAGGGGGGATGGAGCTGGGGGCTGTTTTCTTTCCCCTACCACTGTTCTTGGCAAAGCACTGCCTGGCCTGGTGCCACCTTGAGGCAAAGTATCAGCTAGACAGGGGTGGCAGGATGGCATGAGGACAGTGCCAGAGCCTGGCCAGGGTGAGGAAGACAACAATGGGCCGTCCATCCTTTCCACAGCCTCAGGGCTAGGGGATTACCAACCAGTCTAGGTAGAGGGCAGGGCAGTGATGGTGGGTCTCTGAGGGGCATCTGTGTAAAGCTATATGGTGATGGGGTGAGGGGTAGGAAAGCCCATGCTGAATCACTGGGGGCTCTTCTTTTACTCACCTGGAGGGAGTCACTACAAGTTTAAAGCCCAGCTCTGTTACTAAAGACCTTGAGCAGGTCATTAATGACTCAGTTTCTTTATTGGTAAAATGGGGAAAATAATAGCACCTACCTCCTAGGATTATTGTGAGGACTGAGTGATTAAAAATATGTAAAGCATTTAGAACTCATATGTATATAAGTATGTACATACATGTGGCCCCACAATCCCTCCCCAGATAGATGTCCCGATCAGTTCTCACCCAGGTCCATAAAGGGGCAAAGATGAAGATACTCACTGTAAAGTTTTCACGGAAATTGGGAGCTGGGTGCATTCTGATGGGGAATAAATGCAGACTACAGAATTCTAGGAATCACTTGGAAGCAATGAACCAGAGGTATGTATAGCAAATACATATGGATTTTTAAAACCCACTGCTGATTGCAAAACATAAATAGAACAAGGTCTATTGCACAATGCTATTGATAAAAATTTAAAACATATACCAAACAACACCTGACGTTTTACAATATTTCATGTATATCAAAGGATTTTATATCTCATATCTTAAAGTGGATGACTATGTGGAAGGGGAGGGAATGAAAATGGAAACCAGGGCTAAGTGGGAGAAACACCCATGAAAGAAGGTAATAATAGTGTACC